GAGAGAGAGAGAGAGAGAGAGAGAGAGAGAGAGAGAGAGAGAGAGAGAGAGCATAAATTATGCAAAATGAGAGATCATGGTTTAAAAAATTCTTAATTGAAATAATAAAATAATAAACGTACATATATCAATAATACAATCAGTACTGCGTCAATGTTCTTTTGAGAAATTGCTTGTGAGAAAATTGACGCGCGCGTTACATTTAAAACAATTAATTATCGAACTAAATAAGATAGAAAGACATATATAAGAGAAGTATATGTAATAAAAATACATCTCTCGAATACGTCTTAATGTGATGCGATTGTTTACGACATGTATTTATACAGAACACTATGTTTCACACGTTCAATCACTTTTAGTTCAATCACAATGAAAAAAGGCCATACTTCTCAGACGAGCCACTGCATTAGATACACAATTATTGTCATTAAAAAGCCATTTGCGACAGTTGTCGTTGTTCCGTTACAGAGGTCCCCGTGACAGAGACACATGTACACTTTTTTGTAATTCCACACGGTATAGGCGCATCTCTCCTCGTTGTCGTCGGGACCTCGTTGAAAGCATAATCTTTGCGTGGCGATACCATATTCTGTATAACACACAATATAACACGTTCCATAGGTTTTGCAGAATATTTTTCCAAGTTTTATATATAAAATAATAAAATATTGAATTATATACATTTATACATAATATTATATGAATAAATAATTACATTTATATTTAATTGTGTAAAAGCTTCTCTTCTGTTATATTCAATCAATAATTTTATCAATAATGTAATAATAATATGTATACTTTTGAAAAACAACAGGTTCTTACAAAAATTTTTATATCTTTTTATTATAAGAGAATAAAAACATTTTCATGCACAGAATAGAAAAAATGGAATAAAAGCCAGATAACTCACCGTTGTTCAAATTTTGACTTTCAATTATTTTTCCGCACCATCCCGAGACACATGGAACAGCGTCTACTCCCTTTTCGACTGCAATTTGCGTAGAATTCATAGTGAAAGGATCCTTACACGAGCCGAGTTCTCCTCTCGATCTACAGCTTACGCATCTTCGAAGAATGCCTGTAACAATACGACGAATGAAACTGTCACTTTTTTATCTGCTTTGTCGTTCGATTGCTATTACATTTGCGTTGCACAATAGAAATAACAAGTTATTATTACGTATTAAAAGTTTTGTTTTCTAGAATTTCTCTACTCTCTTGTCTATGATTCACGTACAATACATTGAAAATTAACACTATGACACTCGACTTAATTTGATAATTTTGTTAATTAAATTTTGTGTACACTATAAAAATATTTTTTTATATTTTACATAGAAATATCGCGGATATATCGTGACCAAATTTCTGAGAAAGTCGTAAACTAGTTGAGAAAGTTCCTCGTGACTCGTGAGATACCGAAAACTCACCAACGCTCTCTTGAAATGTGATTATGCAGAATAGTGCGAGTATCGCCTGAACGCTTGCACGAAATTTCATCCTACTTGATTTCTAATGTCGGTTCAGTCTTCTTATAAAATGACTTCGGTAACTCGCTAATGACTGTAAACAAGAAACCGGGAGCTACGATGAGACACAGCCATTTTGGAACTAAACTATCTGTGGACAGACACGTACGTACGCCTCGTAACTGTCTCTACCAGTTCCCCCTTTCACTTTACTTTAAGGTCATCGTATGCCAAGGAAGATCGGATCAAAGGAACGCGAAGGAAATAGCCGCACGAGGAGTGTTTTCAACCGGCCTTTGTCACGCACAATGTTAATGAGATAACATCATCGTGGCAATAATAAAGATACTTAGAAATACGTAACTGTATAAAAAGGAGAATGAAAAGCAGATGATGAGTAGAAGCGTGCGTTTTATGGCATTATTTCTAAAACAAAAAAAATTAGTTTACGTACAAATACTAAAGATGTACTAGAGATGTATTTTCGCGTCAACATGTTTGTAACTTCGAATATCGAATTTATTCAATTTCTTTTCCAAAAGGATCATTCTGCGATAAAGACAGAAATTTATCTTTTCGTCGACAAACTCTCACCACACCTGCGCAATAGCAGATCGAAGTCAAGAAGATTATAACTCCCAGGTAGCCCAAATGCCGAAAAAAAGCTGTATTGATAATGTAACTTATGTAGATTGTCATTTTATATATTTTTAAATAACTGCGTCACACACACAAACGCGTAACCGACCTTGTGTGAGAAAGCGAGTTTTAGATACGACGACAATTTTCAAACGCATCATGTTAACGTCATCCACGTAACAGGTGTAATTACCTTGTTCCTCTTTAGACACATCTATAAAGAAAATTATATATCCAAGAGATCGCATGCAATCTTATTTCTCGTAAACCGTAAAATCCAATATAAATTACCCGTTAAATAAAGTGTCGAGAAGGTGTCTATCACTATTCGCGCCACCTCATCTTTTTTACGAAATGATCGACCGGTTCCCGGTCGCAAAGTGAGTTTGTCCTTCTTCCAAATTACTTGCGACGCTGTGCTCGATCTGCACACAAGTATTTCATTTTTATTTGAAACATATGCGTTTTTCGGTGAAAAAACTCGGAAAATGGATCACTTAGATTAAATAATACGAGAAAGATTCAGCAGTATCGAATTTTACTCCGGACACGCTACGGCGAGATGCGCGCCCTCGGCGAGAACGTATCTCTTCGCGTATCGGAACTTTTCACCTTTCTTCCGTTTCCTCGCGAGTGGACATTTTTTGCAAGATTCTCTCAAGACGAACTCTGGCAACGATCGCACGGCACGGCTGATGCTGGGAAATTCGGTTTGAAGCAAGATGGATCTAAGAACGTAACAACACCAAGCTCTATTACCTGCGAAAACAATGATTGACATAAGATGCACCGATCGAGAGTTATACTTGCAAGGAAGTTTCGGAGATATTCGGAAAAAACGTATAACAAGAGAATCGTTTCTCTGTGCCATTGTCTAGAACAATTAAAATAATAATAATATTACAATATTATATAATTTAAGATATACTATAATTTTTGAGAAAAGTTAACAATATATATCACTTGCCGAGTTTATGTTGCGCTTCAATCTGCAATAACCTCTGCTGGTCTTAATGCCGCGATAATACACACATTGCTTGCACGGACCCCAGGGACCCCATTCGGATATCACTTGAAGAATCACTCCTTCTTCGCGAATCCTAGCTAAGTCCATCATTTGCGAGACCTGGTGAAAAAAGTTTATTTCCTTGAAAAATCGTAGTTTACAAAAATTTACGTTTAGTTCATCACGAGGTACGTAATGTATAACGCAAATTTGTTAGCTCACCGCAAATCTCATGGTAACGGGTAACAAATACGTTTCGTGATATTTCTCCCATTCAGTTATGTTTCCCTCTTCAACAAATTCGCCGCCGATATCTTTGAGAATTGCTATTTTGGGAAAAGAAGCGAAACAATTCGATTGCAATATAATAAAAAATAAAATTAAAAATGAAATACGTCGTATATGTATATTACGTTCGATTCTGTAGTTGTATTTGTTTTCTTCCTCTTGTCCGTCTTTCCCGTGACATCGATAGATGCCGGCGTCGGTGACCGACGAGAAGTTTTTGATCACCAGACCAAACTCCGGCGTTGTGTAAACTCTGCTGTACGAAACGTTGTTGTTCGTATCCAACTCGACTTCTTTCTCCGATGTTTCTCGATATCGGTCTTGATAGTACCAGATTTTCGATTCGGACTCGTCGCGCTCGTTGCTTTTTTTTTTTTTTTCGGGAAAAATCGAGTTTCCGTCCGACAATACGTTGAAACGTGCATTTTCCACATGTGTGTGTTCCACACAACAAAATGCCATAACAATTAAATATAATTAGCAATATTTTTTATTTACAATTCCGCAGTAATATTTTACAACTCTGTTATTTATAGTTTTAAAATAAATAAACAAAAATTATTTTAATTGCACTCCTGGTTCGACTCCTGGCCGAGGAGTTTTTTTCGCAATATAAATTTAATTTCAATTAGGGGGGTATTTGGGATTTCTCATATAAGAGATGCAAGTATAGCATCCAATATAAATTTTAGAATTGTTAATTTAATTCGAATTTTACGTGTAAAAATTTACATGTGAACACGTATATATGGACATATATACACGTATAATTTCCGCACAACACCTAGCGAATGGCTCCAATGACCGAATATATATTTATTAGTTTAGAAACTACAGAGCCGGAAAAGATTCTTTAATTGTTTAATTGCACAAATTAAGTTTCCATACGTTTCTATACTTTTATTATATTCACATATAAATTTTTCTTACCAGTAACGACATGCTAATATAACAGTTGTTCGATTCTCCGCACTTACGAGCAAATACTCGTCGTTTTCCTCGGACGTAATCAATCTATCTCTATCTCTGCAATACTTATTAACATTTACAAGCGTGCCATCAGTAGCTATGCAATTTGCAAATGTAAAAGACGCTACTGTAATCCAAATAAAATACATAATCAGAGTCAGATTATGTGCCACACGAGTTTATATACAACTGCAACAAATAAATAGAAAATATTAGATAACTAATAAAATCTCTTCGGATGAACATTCAAACCCATAACCTAATCCCTATCGTAACTTTCTTTCTACGCAACGCGTTAATAAATGGCGCGAAAAGAAAATTCGAAGGTGATTCCGCGCGAGCGGCGACTTCTGTGAACGCGGAACGGGAGAACCGGATACGGTCACGCGAGACAGCGGACCGACGAATCACGAAACGGAAATACATACCCATGATGCATCACTGATGTCAACATGGCGGACATGGTTGAAAGTGAGTAAACTTTGAGTTATTTTCGATAAAATTACATGACGAACGACTACAGTGGCGGTCAAAAATCGGGCTCGACAGAATTCGCGTTCCCGATGTACCGATTCGGCGGGACGCGCGCCGTCGTTCGTGTCTGCGACGATTGCAATCGCTGTTTGAACGGTGATCGAGAGCGGATCGGGTTTAAAATTTCAAAAATGACCAACATACGATTCAAGCGGGATGGCCGTGATGTTTGGCCTGGCGATGCTTCGCATCGCAACCGATGGCGAGATATTCGCGTTTCGCGTCATGATGAATCGACCCGCGGTGATTGCGCGATTCCAAATCTCACACTCGCTCGGTTGTTTCACCCGCGCAAATTGTTTACTATTTAGAGTTTGGTTATGTTACGCACTGCCGTCGCACGAATATGGAATATCGTACGCGATTGACGCTCGTGCATCGCTTCAAATCGCTCGCAATCGTCTTACGGATGATTTTGCGCTTTTTGAATTTGTCCCCGCACGGCGTGGAACTGTCCTTGTGAGGAAATAAAAACACATCTGTTTTGCTCTCATCGTGATATTTTGTATTTTTATTTTTATTTTTTTTTTTAATCTACGATAAGATTGTATAAAACTCTCTAATGACGTATATTGAAGTTTAACATGCTTATTTACGTATAATTTTTTAAGTTTTGTGGCAATATGAATTTTTGTGTTTTGCCCCTGAATGTTAGTTCCCATTCTAGTGATATTTTATATTGTTATATACTTGAATTATTTTGTTTTTAGTTTACCACTAGAATAGAAAGTCAAAAATATTTGAATTCTAAGAAAATTATTTTACGTTAATTTGTATGTACACACATGCATCAGATCCAAATAAATTTATCTCAGGTGAATCTACTGCAGAAACGTTGCTATCTATAAAAAATGGTGGATATCCCTTGGTTGATGAGATTAAAACGGAAGTGACAGATGACGATACAATAGAAATGGATGAGCCTAATTCCAATCATTCAATGGATACAGAGGATTGTGAACCAATACCAGAATTGGGACCCGCAGCACTGGGTCTACAAAGGGTAGGATCTCAACCACCTGCCAAGCCTACTCCTCCCACACAGCCAGTGCAGGTTCTAAATCGAAGAGGAATGCCAGCAAGAATCAGGAAGAAGAACAAGTTATTCTACGATGACATATTGATCAATCACCCACATCATAGGTAAATTTCTTTTTTATTATTGTTTTTTTTTCTATAAATAAATTTGTAATTAGTATATGAATTTAAACTTACACGAACGTTATATTAAATGTATAATGTACAATAGAGTTTATATCCGTAGAATCAAGAAAGATTCGAACGATACAAAACAGTCTCCTAAAAAGATATTGCGATCATCACCAATGAAAAGACAGACCAAGATATCAACAGAACCGAAAAAAAATACAGCTATATCTTCACCAGCACGAACAACTCCTGTGACTACTCCGATGGAACAAGAGAAAGAACCTGAGGACACAAAGCATCCCATCATACCATCGGACAATAAAATAGAAGAAAGAAATGGAATGAAACTGAGAAATATGTTAAAACTACCAAAGGCACATAAATGGATTTGTTACGAGTTCTTCTACAGCAATATCGACAAGTATACAAATAACGTTAAATATCACAAGTATACTAAAAAAAATTGTCAATCTTACATACATTTTTCACGATCTTTTGTATTTCTGTTACAGAGTGTTGTTTGAAGGCGATAATGACTTCATGGTGTGCTTAAAAGAATCGTTTCCGCAATTGAAAACTCGCAATCTCACTCGTGTGGAATGGTGTAAAATCAGGAGAATGATGGGCAAACCACGTAGGTGTTCCCAGTCGTTCTTTGAAGAGGAAAGACGCGAGTTGGAGAGGAAAAGACAGAAGATACGATTGCTACAACAGAGAAAAACAGCGGATATAAGTCACTTCAAGGATCTGCCACCTGAAATACCGCTGCAATTGGTAATCGGTACAAAAGTCACGGCGAGATTGAGAAAACCTCAGGACGGTCTCTATACAGGCAGCATCGATGGCGTCGATACTAGCAACAACACTTACAGAATTACATTTGCAAAGCCTGGACTTGGAACGCACAGTGTCCCCGATTACGAAGTTTTAGTAAGTTATCTTGGTCTTCTCAGTGTTTATCAAATGTTTATCAAGTTTACGCTCGTTTTAATATAAAATTTTGCTTCGTCCAGTCAAACGAAATACCAGAAACCATAAGCGTCGCATCGTTCGCCAAGAAATTCCGGCCACAGACTCTACGGTACATAGCATCGCCACCGTACACGATGAAGTTGTCCCCGCGATCGATGAAGCTGTCGAACGACCCTTTGATATCCAACGCTTCTATGTGCATACCAAAGAAACCACAGATTGGTGGCACACTGAATGGTTATCCGTTGAAGTTACTCGAACTTATGGTAAAGGTGAACAAAATATTAACATCGAAGAAGACCAAAATCAAGAAATTAAGGGAAATGAATGGCGAGGCTGAGAAAAAGCGCTCTTTCGGAGAATCATTTTCTCCTGATTTCGAAAGAAGATACGCAGGGTAAACTTAGCTATTTAAGTCAAACATTACTATTTAGAAAATTTATAGTATGCACATTATTTGAGAGATACTCAATATGTAATAAATCCAAGTTCTTATAATCGTTTTTCTTTTTTAGAATTGTTGTTGAATTAGAAAGAATGAACGGAGCTCTTCAAGATTTTTTGAACGACATACAAGAGTTGTGTCAGGAAATGGCACCCGAGCCCAGCGTAGCGGCTATGCTGGCACCGTCGCATCTTCGAGAAAAGTGTCGGCAGGAGGCGGCGGATTTGGTTGCTAGAAATAACATGCTAAACGATAGAGCGCCTGGGAAAATGAATCAACTAGTAACGGATCTGACTGCGTTGATGTTACAAGTAAAGGTAAAGCAAATCGATATAATGGATATAAAAATTCACTTTATGTGGATTCTTGATATACTTGAGACTATTGTTTTTTTGTACCGCAGAGCTTGTCAGATTCCGATCAAAATGCGTACGAACTGAAGGTGTTACAAGGTACCATGGAACAGATTAGATCGAAGCTCACTCCGCAAAATCAACAAGTATTTCAGAACTGCGTGGAAATTCACATGCAGCACATTCAGCTGGGCCTAGGGCAGATGGGTGCTTTAACGCCGTTTATGGCTCAAAGAACCTGAAAAGAAGACGAAAGTACTATCGTATAAGTGTTCTCACACAGATATATAATTGACGAACGATGAAGACGGTCACGATTTTTTATACGATATATAAAAAACTAACTTTATTTTCTCATCGTGTATAGTTCACATTATCACGTAAATCATGTCTCTAAGGAATACAATAGAGTTTAAGCAGTTTATGTGTTAGTTTTGTATATATCACGGGATATATACATGTATATATATCTCCGAATTTTTCTCTTGTGTTCTCTTCTTGATTTCGTAGTATATATTCGTAAAAATATTTGAGACAAAATCGGTATATTGTTAAATATTAAACGTTAGACACCTAAGAGAATGTTCATGTTTCAGATTTTTACATGCTAGGTGTATAATTCTATTATAAGCATAACACAAACTACAATCGATTCTGTAATGTAACAGTACAATGTGCTAATATATATATATATAGTGAAAAAATTAAATTTATTCAAATATAAAGAAATTGGCTAGTGTAATTGTGGTGAGTTTATATAAATAATATATATAATAATATAATATAATTTGCGTGTGTGTATCAAGACAAGTGCAAACGTAACTTAAGAATTTAATTCACTTATGAGAGGTTTAATAATTGCACAAATTGAACATTTTTTAAATGATTACGTCTGGAAAGTCACTTGACACTAGTTATTTTTTATCTTTAGGTCATTATATTCTCCTTATTAGTCATTTATATTTCTCCTTATACATATATTTATATAGTATATAATCCAAAGAAAATATACTTTTTATCAACAAAAAGAAAGGAGAACTTTGAAGTAAAAAACATCGCTAAAAATATATCTACGTAATGTATAATAAATGTACAAGAAAACTGATAGTAAAAGATTGATAATTTATAATGCTCTGCAAATCGTAAACTGATAATGTATCTCCTTATTCCGAATTTTTATCAATTATTAAATGTTCTAAATAATGCACACACTTTTACTTTTCAATATAAGTTACATCAAATGTGTTCAATACAACATATATTTTTACGTGGCGTATGTGCAATGTTTATATTCTTTTATTCTTATTATTTCTCAAAAATAATGATTTATATAATTTTTTTATAGATCAAAACATCTAGTATTTTTTTTCCATAAAAAGATCAACATGACAAATATTGAATAAATTTCGTGTGTATGTAATTACGACTCTACCACTTCAAGTTAATTTTAGCACAGACAGTATATTCTATATTTATGTAACCTATTCTACATTTACGTATCTTTACTATGTACATACATCTTTGCAATGTATCCTTATTACAGCTTATTGATTACAGTAACATTGTTTTATTTCGAAGTGTCACGTATAAACAAACTGAGACATTTCAAATTTAATTAAATCGTACCTCTCTTATCAGACGAATCTAATAAGAAAGTAACGTTAATTACACTTTTTTGTACAAATGGTTTTATATGAGATAACACACTTTACGATAGACTCCTGACACAAGAACATCCGACGATAAAAATTTTGTCTAACACTTAAGTTTGTCTTTCACCGCGTTACGATGCAAGCGTGTATGATGTAATGGCTGTGTCTGCGCAAGCTTAAACAATGCTGCCAAGGGAGTCAATATTTTGATTTTTTCATAAGATCTTCATTTCTCTAATCTCAACAAATCTTTTCAATTCGCTTATGTCAAGAATCTACTGTGATCGTGTTCCAAAATTTATTGCCAGTACTAAGAATGTATAATATACGTAATGTGAACTATAGACTTTTAGTGCTGACAATAAAATATCGGAACGCAGCCTGCGTGTTATCAACCAAGACTTTATCGGAAGAGCTTCTCTAGATCTTCTTTACCTCAAATTATTCATGATTGTGTTGAAATATCATGTTTTTTTTTCTGATCGTCATGAGTTTTGTCAGAATAAATAAGGTTCAAGAGCAAGACTCTTATAGTAGTTAATAACGATGAGGAAATATGTCTGCAGAACTTTGCACATTTACAAGTATATATATATATATATATATTTAATTTATCGTTTATTTTTTATGTTTATTCAATGTTTCAAGTAGTTCGTCCGCAGCCTCACTAGTTTTCACTCTCAACAACACTGGAACTGGCGGCGGCGTTGAATCGGGCAACGGCAGGCAGACCAACATTATCGTGTTCTTATTCATAAGCTTAGTTGGAATGCTTGAAGTCAACAACGTGTTGAGTAATAAGTTACCCAGAGAAGTGTCGGCGCGTACTATTAATTGCATCTTTCCGTTCGGAGTCGGTTTCAAATACAACATCCCGACACCTCTATCGCTATAATTGCCATCTTTCTTCACAAAGACCTTACATCTGAATAAGAAGAAACACGCGTTATCATGTGCATAAAATTCAATGTTTATCATTTTATAATGATAAAAGAAAATTAACAAAACATACCTTTGTTCGTAAATAGCACCTTCTTCAGTTACCGGCTTGAAGTCAGGTTTCGGCGGTTCTTCATCGTCATCATCTTTGTTTTCACTCTCCCCTTTGTCCTCGGAATCTTGTACCTCTGATTTGACCGATTGAGGAGCAAATGTGAATGGCTTCGCACTGATTAATTGTAAAAATACATATACATATATGTGTCGACCTTAATAAATAGCACGAAGCATCGTAAAAAAAATTAAACGGAAAGATTACCCTCCAAAACTAAATCCAGCAGTCACATTGTTGGTGGAACTCTGTCCAAAGCTGAAAGTGGAAATCGGAAAGGTGGGAGCTACCGGCTTTGTTTTAGGCTTCCCTTCCTCCTCGTCCGGTTTTTTGTCCTCCGAAACAGAAGGTTTGTTTAAAAATGGATTACTTTCCACATTTGCGTTGCCAAAAATATTTTTACTAGCGACGTTCGATTCTGTGTTTCCGAAAATAGATTTATTTTTCTCAGTAGTATTATCTGTACTACTGCCAAATACAAACTTTTGTTGTTCTGAATTACCAAATATTGATTTGGTACTCGCAACATTGGAGAATATTGATTTCTCCGGCGGTTTGAAATCCGCTGCTGGGGTTGAAACAGCAGTCTTTATATTGGCGAGCGAGTTACCGAACGGAGAACTGTCAGGTTTGTTTTTGTTCGTATCTTTCTTGTCGTCGTTTGTCGCGGTTTGTGCTGCGAGTTCCGAAGCATGCGGGGTCTGAGGTTTAGCGCTTTCCTCTTTTGACGTGATCTCCTTCAAATATTTCTCGTAATCTCTAAATATCGGAGTTAATATGCAATACGGATTCTTATCTACGTGAACCTTTATCCATGAGGCTACACTTTCATTCAGTCCTTTCAGTTTTGCGTAATAACTCGAAGAGTGAGTCTTTGTTTTTTCATTTTCTTCCTCTTTTGTCGGTGGTTTTTTGCTTGTACTTGTGCTCGATATTACTTCTACATCAACAATATCATCATCTTTGTCTTTGTCAGTTTTCGAGATCTTAGAAGCACCATTGGTTGCAATATTCTTACTGCCTGTGTACGAACTGGTCATTAGTGCAGAAGTACTCGTGCTGGTGCTCGTATTAGCTAGAAAACTAAATGGAGACGTATTTGTTACAGGAGTAGTTTTGAAACCTGTAAATGTTCCAAATGCACTCTTAGTGGCTCCTTCCTGAAATTTATCAAATCGATTGGCAATAAAACTGAAGGATAGGATATACATATGTGTGTATGTGTGTGTTCTGCTTATATTTAGAAGTTTAAAAAATATCTAATATTTACTTACATCATTACTTTGTGGCAACCGACGTCTGGCTGTTTTAAAGACTCTTTTCTCAAGTACATCATTAGATGCTTTTACAAATGTGCCCACTTCCTCTGGTTCATGTTCTTCGTTCCAGTTGTCATGATTCAAATCTGTTGTTGCTGATCTTTTAGCCGACATTTCTGTTACCTGTTATACTTTTTGTGTACAAAGAAAGAAGTTGCACATTAACAACGTATTACACGACAAAATATTAATTTATATACATACATAAATACACGTATGTTTATACACAAAAAGCTCAACGTTTTAAATGTTCGGTACAATTGAATTTTTCAAATAAATAAGATCAATATTATGTTTATTACTCACATACAATCAAAAACAATATAATTAATAAATTATAACACGCACTTTCGACGAACGAAACGGTAATGTCGGAGCAGGTTATGTGTCTCGAATAATAATCTCAAGTTATCCAATCACACCTCACGTTCAGTCAGAAATTTATCGCGGGATGTCGTTTAATTCTTGCAACGATCGAGCAAAACTCAGGAACGAGAAACGCCATATAATCTCGCGGCCGCGCGAACAACGAATAACATCGATTTTTTACATAGCCCTTACCTCTGAAATCGAACAAATTGAAACAAGTTTGCCGCGGCATTCGGCAAACAGCGGCAAATCTCATATGCGGATCTTTCGGGCAGGGATTAGGGCAGTGTTCCGATATTGGAGAGGCTGTACGCGCATGCGCGACGAATTCCGAGAGAATCCAGTAACGTATCTATGAAGATGCGCGGTAGTTTTAGCGGGAGGCTAGCTAAAGGGAGATAACTTAAATATAACTTTTTTATTTGTTATAACATATTTTATTTTTATATATAAAACTTGG